CTGCTGTTGTTGTTGAGTTGTTTCAGTTGTATCTGACTCTTTGTGACCCTGTCCGGGGTTTTCTTGGCAAAGATACAGCAATGGTTTGTCCTTTCCTTCTCCAGCACATTTTACATATGAGGAAACTGAGGCAAACAGGGCTATGTGACTTGCCCAGGGTCACACAGCTAGGAAGTTCCAAGTGAACTCCACATCCTATCCACTTTGTTAACCTAGCTGCCTCGATGCTTATGTTATGAAAATGAAAGCAAGAGATGTTAACTCAATTAATTAAACAAACATTCATTAAACACCTTCTATGTGCCAGGCACTGTATTAAATGCTATGGATATAGTAAAAAATGAAAATAACTCTTGCCCTCAAGGAGCTTTCCTTCTACAAGGAGAAGAGCAAAGAGAGGGACAACATATACAGAGACTTTTAGATAGCAAAATAAATATAAAGTTTCTCAATTGCCAGAGCTAGTCTTCTCTCTAATCAGTTGGCTCTCTTCTTTGCAACTAAGTATTTAGAGCACTAGGCCTTGAGTCAGGAAGACCTGAGTTCAAATCCAGCCTCAGACACTTACTAACTATATGGAAGCTATTTAACCTTGTCTGCCTCAGTTTTCCCAACTGTAAAATAGGGATAATAAATAGCACCTTCCTTCCCAGCATTGTTGTGAGAATCAAATGAAATAATATTTCTACAGAACTTTAGCACAGTTTCTGGTAAACAAGGGACAATAAAAAGTACTTTATTTCCTTTCTTCTATGAGTTACCCTCCTTAGAAACTGCTCCTTCCCTCAGATGCCTTTTTCTCTGTGTCAATGTCTTAGTAAAGACTGCATATGTGGTGCTCTCTCACACCTGTGCCTCAAACTCTCCACAACTAATTAATTTCTGAATTGATAGGTGTTTCCTCCTGGCCAAGTATCTCTACTTCGAAATGCCACATATGGGACCAAAATCGAATAATGGGGGGGGCAGGTAGAAAAATTCTGTCCCCTCCCCCTGCTGCCTGCTGGTATCCACAGGAGTCAACAGTCCACAAAGTTGCTGGCTGGCTGGATTCGGTGTGTGTTAGTGTGCTCAGCTTTTTAAGGGGCTGCCCAGGATCTGGCCAATCACTCCTAGTCAAGAATATCCTGCTCCTTCCAATTCAATCAAGGAGAAACCTGTTCATGCTTTGCAAAGGGGATGACACGGTGAGAGACTTCCTCTTTACATTTAGTTTAATACTTTGCTATTTACCAGCTACTTTTTATGACTAGATCACCAGGGGTTGTAGGGACTGACCTTTGTCTTTCTTTATATCCTAAGAACTGGCACATAGTAGGCACTTAATAAAGCTAGCTGATTGCCTGACAAAAGAGATAATGGACATTCCAAGTGCTACTCTGGATCCCCCAAGTTATTAAAAAGAATCAGAGGAAGGTCTCCAATACATTGGTCAAGAATAAGAATCTTTGGAGGGCATGGAGGAAGATCATGTAGAAAAGGAAGGTGTGGAGAGGTAATTTTATGTATCTATATCTATATCTATATATAGATATAGGTATAGATATATCTATATTTATACACACACAATACACATATGTATACATACATATATACATACATTTTCCCATACATATACTTTTAACATAAATATATCTACATACACACACATTTATATATACACATACATATCTATCTATATATGAAATTCCCATACTTAAGAGGTGACAGAGTCATTCACCCATATCTAAGGAAGCAAAATTTTAACATCTCTGTGCTGCCTTAGCAGTATGTGCTTTGTGAAGCATTTTACAAGTAGTTATACAGAATTTGCTGCTGATTTAGACTACTACAATATGCTTCGAGTTGGGCTCTCTGCCTCAAATCTCTATAACTCCATTCCATTCTCCACACCAAAGAGATTTTCCTCACGTATAGGTATGACTATGTCACAACACTCCCAATCAGACTTTAATGGTTCCCCATTACCCCCAGGATCAAATATAAAGTCCCCTTTTTCAGCATTTAAATTTCTTCCCAACCTAGCCCCCTCTTACCCTTATAGTCTTCTTACACATTTCTGCCCTCCATTAACATTAAAATCTAGCCATACCACCTTATTTACTATTTCTCACATATGACACACACTTCATTTCCCAAAACTATGCTTGGACTATGTTCCCTCTTCAATTCTGCCTCTTAAAATTCCTGGCTTCCTTCAAGACTCAGCTCAAATATCACCTTCTGCAGGAGGACTTTTCCCATGCTTTCCCCTCTCCCACCAGCCATTAATGCCTTCCATTCTCAGTTTTCCTTCTATTTCCTCTATATGTATCTTGCACATACCTATTTATTTACATACTCTATATGTATACTGTATTACCTATTTATTATAGGTGTCTGCTACCTTAGAAAGGGCAAGGCTTTTGTAGTCAAGCTTTCTTTCTTTTTTTTTTCTTTTGTATTCCCTATCACTAACCTTTGGAATCAGCCTTCCTCTTTAGCTCCTTCCTCCTTTCCACTGTTGCAGGCATTTGTATCCTTAAGTGAGGACAAATGGGAAGGAGTCACACCTGAGTCCCTATGCTAAGAAACCTTTTGGTCTGGGAGTGCAACATGGAAAGGAGAAAGAACTATCCCCAAGTGGATTTCTAGTTTCTTTCCCCTTATACCTGACATCCTATTCCTCGTAGGCTGTGGTTCTAAGCATGACATATAGCATGTCTTCTATCCCACCCAACTCTTTCTTCTTTACTTCTCATGGCTGGGCAATATGTAATTTCTTGTGGGGTTGGGGTGTCGTGGGGTAACTCTATAGCTCAACAACATGTCACAAGTCTGAGAACACTTCAATATTTAAATTTTCAGGTGTTAATTCATTAGGAGAGGAGAGGTAGGTGGCAGTTCTATTTTCTTGGATGTGAATTCAGTCTGTTCACCAGTAATGATTATATTTGGCACATAATTCATTTTTTATTTTTATTTTACTTAATGTTTTAGCTTTTATGGTTGGGAAATTTGTAGAAGTGACTCTTCAGCCACTTTGATGATCTCCAGATCCAATCTCTACCTTTGTTTACTCAAGCGCTATGGCATAACTGAACAAAGATTGCACCTGGCATCAGGGCAGCCAGAATTGCCCCTGCTCTTGCTTAACAATGTTATTTTAAGTGGCAAATGTAATCTCTACCAAAATTCCACCATTCTGAAGTAACAGAGCCCAGTATTCAAAGACAGATCTCTCTTGTGCCTGGTTCAGCATTCTTTCCACTTTGTGAAGTTTCATCAAAAGAATTTTCCTAAAGGGAACTTGCAATGAGGAATTTGTAAATAGATATTATTGAGATCCTTCACCCCAAATCTTCTTCTCTGTTTACAATTCTTAGAGATGCGTTCTTAAAATGTGATCCAGGGACTGATGGGGGCTCTGGAGACCCTGTTGGGGGTCCATGAGATCTAAAAAACTATTTTCATAAAAATACTAACATGTTTTAATTTCTGATACAGTAAAGATAGATATAATCCACAAAAACAAAAGCTTTGTAGGGCAGAAGGAAGGGATATCTGCAATAGTATTTAAGAGTATAAAGGGGTCCTGAGACCAAAAAGTTTGAGAACCACAGGTTTTGAAACATTGCCTATGAGCCAGTTTATCTCCACCAAACTATAATTTTGTTTCTTGCAGTTTGGGGACATTACTCTTCCTACTCTAGTCAACACCCAGGGCTCTGTTTCCCAGTTTCTATTACCTCATTCACTTCCCCTCTCTCCTCCCTAAAAAAATAACTAACTAAATAAATAAAATCCCAATCTGTATCTTATTTTTATTTTGTTACATTATCCCACAGCATAATTATTTTAATGAGATTCTAGCCCATTAAAATCCTTAACAATGAGGCACCAGCTTAGTAGAATCACTTCCATGAGCTCTTTGGGGGAGGAAGAGGGCTTTCTCCATGAGTCTTCTCCATCCCTCATCAATCCAATCAGCTGCCAAATCCTATTAATCCTACTTTCATAATCTGACTCTCAAATCTTTCCATTCTCACAGTCTCTACTCTCATTACTTCTCAATAGGACTATCACAACAGGTTCTGAGTTGGCCTCCCTGAATATAATCTTCCCCCTCTCTCATCCTTCACACAACTAGCAAGATAACCCTCTTTATGCACCCATGTGATCAAACACTGCTACCCTACTGAAAAACCATCAATGGTTCCCCAATACCAAATTCTTTGAGTCTGGCTTTGAAGGCTCTCTGTGGTCGGGGTCTAAACTATCTCTTCAGTCCTACTTCATGGTACACTTCTTCACACACACAATGTTCCCAGTCAAACTGCACTACCAGTCATTTTCTGACCTTTTCTATTCTTTCACTCCCTTATTTTACACAATCTCCCATATCTAGAACAAACTCCTCTCCTTGTGGTTTTTTAAAAAAATCCTTTTCTTCTTTTAAGACCGAGATGATGTATTACCCACTCACTGAGACCATGTTCCAGGATCCTCTAGATAGAGACCCTAATCTCTCGAGTTTCTCTATTTAACCCCTTCCTGTGCACTTTTCTCATTTTTATTTGTAGTTTGGTTATTTGTTAAAAAACAAAAACAAAAAACAAAACAAAAACAAAAAAACAAAAAAAGAACATATTATTATCCCAGCTTAACTGTAAACTCCATGAGGTCAGGGTTCGTTTTCAACTTTGTATCCTTAATAAACATCAGTTGAAATGAACCCAATTGTTTATTTATATATGCTATTTTCCTACACACAAATCCTGCATTAGAGTATGTCATCATGTAGAACCTTTATCAAACTTCTTGCCTTTTCAAGATGGGAGAGAGAAACGTGGATGGGAGAGAATTTGGAACTCAAAATTGTAAAAAATGAAGGTCAAAAATTGTTTTTAGATGGAATTGGGGAAAATAAAAATATTAAAATTTTAAAAATTTAAAGTATGTCATCAAAAGTTAATAACAAGGTCACCCTCAACTTTCACCTGGAATGTTGTACCCCATACCTTGAGTCCTCTGAAGCTTCCCGGACTTGTTGGAGAAGAACTGGAGGATTTTGTTGATTTGGGAGTGGAAAGCTGACTGCTGGGAGTTCCATTAACTGATCACACAAAAGCAAAGCAAGAAAACAAAGAGAGAAAGGTCATTAGAATACAAAATCATCATGTTCTTCTAAAATATTAATTATGCACATGCTTTACTACTTAACAACAAAGCTCAAAGCAGGCTTCAAATCAGCACTGAAGGTATTAATCTGATATGGTACCTTATAATACAGCAGAGCTGGTAATTCAGTTTTGTTGAACTGGTAAATGAGAGGGATAGGGTCAGTCTACTACAAAACTAGTTTCAATGATCTTAGTATCTCAATCAGAAAAATAGGCTTAGAGATCAAAGAATCTTAGAGACTAACAATTTCTTAGGATATTATCTAGTCCAGGGGTGTCAAACTCAAATAGAAATCAATCCCTGTATGGGGCAGCTAGGTGGTGCAGTGGATATAGCTCTGGCCTTAGAGTCAGGAGGACCTGAGTTCAAATTCAACCTCAGACACATAGCACTAGCTGTATGACCCTGGGCAAGTCATTTAACCCTAATTGCCTCAAAAAAAAAGAAAATCAATCCCTGTAGCTACATACTGACTTGAAAAACCACAAAATTATGTTATCTATGTTGTACTGCATTTTTATTTATCTTGTTAAGCATTTCCCAATTACATTTTAATCTAGTTCTGGCTGCACTTGGAATTTTGCAGTACCCAACCACGAGTTTGACACCTCTGATCTAGTCCATCCATCTTTCTCTAAGCAAAGCTATATTTAGATGCATCTACCATTTTTCTGGAGGCCTATAGAAAAAGAAATTAGGAGCTAGTTTTAGCAGGAAAGCCAAGGGAATGTTATGCCTCGATGGTGGGGTGCAGAGAAGAAAAGGTGTTTTCCTCCTTAAGTGAGCAGGAAAGTCCTGGAGGAATATATGTGGAATAGTGAGGGAGGAAGGGATGCCTGTCTAGACACCCAGATCAGCCCTCTGATCCACTGATCCTTATGCTACATCAAGAGAACTACAGAAAGGACCCAGCACCCTGTTGAGGATTCATGGAAACACACAGACAAGATGAGAAGGCATGGATGGGTTATCCGCACTGTTGGAGGAAACACCCACATGAATCAGATCCCACATTCATAGAAGGATTTAAATATGGGAAGAAATGTTCACAGTCAATGGTACTTTAGGGTTCACCAACCCGCAATAATCAGAAGTTCTTACAACTATTCCCTTATACTGTCAAAGGTACCACCATCCCCTCAGTCACTCAGGTTTGCAACTTAGGTGTTATCCTCTATTGTGTACTCTCTGACCACTATAACCAATTTGTTTCCAGGTCCTGCCATTTCTACCTTCAAAATACCTCCAAAGGACAGCTAGGTGGCGCAGTGGATAGAGCACCAGCCCCGGATTGAGGAGGACCTGAGTTCAAATTCGGCCTCAGACACGTAACACTTACTAGTGTCACTTGTGTGACCTTGGGCAAGTCACTTAACCCCATTGCCTAGCCAACAAAAGAAAAAGAAAAAGAAAAAAAAAGAAAAAAAAGAAAAATACCTCCAGTATGCACTCCATCCTCTACTCTACCACTGCCACCACCCTGGAGAAGGCCATGAAGTACAAAGCTCAACAGGTCATTCCTCTATTGAATAAACTCTAGTGGCTCTCAATTACCCCCAAGATCAAATATTAATCTTTTTTAAAAGACTTTTAAAGCCTTGCATAACCTGCCTTTCCACTCTTCTTATACCTCACTCCCTTCTAGCTACTCTAAGACCAATCTCCTTATTCCTCACACAAGACTCTCCCCACTTCATGCATTTTCCCTGGCTACTTCCTGCCCCTGGAATGCTCTCCCTTGTCTCATGTCTCAGCTAAAATCTCCCCTTCTGTAAGAAGCCTTTCCCAAATGCTATCCACCTCCAGATAAAGAACTGATGGACTCAGAATGCAAACTGCAGCATTCTTTTTTCTTTTTTCTTATTTTTCTGAAACATGGCTAATGTGGAAATACGTTTTTCTGAGCTTCATATGTATAATGGGTATCATATTTCTTGCCTTTTCAATCAATGGAGGAAGGGGTGAAGGAAAGGGGTAGAATTTGTAACTGAATATATATATATATATATATATATATTTTAAAGAAGCCTTTCTCAGTCTCCCTTAATTTATCCCATCTATATCTTGTTTGTATACAATTGTTTGCATGTTGCTTTTCCCATTAAGGTATAAACTCTTTGAGGGCAGGGACTGTGTTTTTGCCTCTGTTTGTATCCCCAGTTCTCAGTATAATGCTTGACTCATATTAAGGGCTTAATAAATGCTTATTGGTTTGACTTGAGCAAAACTCAAATCCCTCCCCTTATAATTAAGATTAGTCTTTTCTATCCTTGGTGGAAAGGAAAATAGCTGGTTATTTTTGCTTTAATGACTGTCATTATGAAAACTACTAGTCATGCCTCGACTCCTCAGATAAGTTATTGCTAATTCCTATCATTTTTTCCCCTTCTTAGGTTCTACAGTCTCATAATTAAAAAAAAAAAGTGTTGTTTTTTTTTAGCACTTCTATCCAAATCTGTTCTAAATGGGAAACCCCAAATTAGATACTCTTATAGGGAAGTTCTGGTGGCTACCTTTTATCACATCGCATCCCTGCTTTCCTCAAGATCACCAATTCCTTTTCAGCATATCATTCACCATGTCCCCAAGATTCTGTTCTACTACAATCACATAAAAATAGTGGCAAATCAGCTTCCATGTGCATAAGTGGGGTTCTCCCCTCCTCTGAATATGTTCACCTATCATTTTATTTTGTTTATTCCTCAGTGTTTCTTTTTTCACCATAGCAGAAACCTTATTGTGCTATTTGTCACCAAGGCTTAGATAGCTATGATCTTAGTGAACTATCCACGACTGCTTCGAGCAATTTCCTAATATTCTACCTAGGTTCTCCTCATAATCTTAAGTCTCCTCTTATATAAGTGATGACAGATAATGTAAAGAATGACACAACAGTCACCTAAATTCTATTTGTCTCATTCTGGAAGCACAATCACAGATTGATGTCAACCTTGTTTTTAAATGTTTAAATAACATAAATAAGTATTGGGAGCTTAATTGGGCCACTTAAATTTCAACTCATAACTGAACATTTGCACCCTTCTACTGAAGAGACAATTACTTGCCGTTTTTCAGGAATAATTGATTATGGTTAGGTGAATCATATTTAAACACTGATATCCAAATTTTAAAAGTTGGTCTTGAGAGACTTCAATCTTGTTATTTTTATTTCTTTTTCTTTCAGAAATCATACAGTAATAATCATTCATTTTCTTAATTACAAAAACACCAATAATTTTTAAAGTCAAAAACTGTTTTGTTTTTTAAAAAAAATCACCTAACAGCAAACTTGATTACAAAGACACTAAGAACTTATCATTTTGCATTTGTTGTAAGTTTTTAGCATGGGAGCTACGTAAACCTATGCAGCTCAAAACTTATCTTTGGTTTAGTAAACAATTCCTGAGGTATGGAACATCAACTCAATGCTATCTACTATACCAGTGATATCGAACTCAAAACAGAAATAGGGGCCACTCAGCTATACATAAAGATCTCTACGGACTGCATATTAGTTTAAAACTTAGTTTTAAAACACAATATTATCTTGTTGAATTTATATTTGTATTTTTTAAAAAAGTATTTCCCAATTATATTTTAATCTGGTTTAGGCCATATTTGGGAGTGTTAGGGACCTCACATTTGACATAACTGTGCTAAAATTATACTGGCAAATTTAAAAGAGAATTAGTAGTATTATCTAATAAAAAAAACTCATTGCTATTGATCATTTTTCTAGCAAGTGTGGGCACAAGCATATCTGACATTAGTAGAGTAAACAAAACTGGTCTGATTCTCTGAGACCAGACAATTCTAGTCACAAAAGAAAAACGTCTAAGAAGTCTCTCTTGAAAAATTCCAGTCTAGGGGCCAGTGAGGAGGTGCAGTGGATAAAGCACTGGCCCTGGAGTCAGAAGGACCTGAGTTCAAATTTGACCTAAGACACTTGACACTAGCTGTGTGACCCTGGGCAAGTCACTTAACTCCATTGCCTAGCCCCGCCCCACAAAAAAATTCCAGTCTGGTGACAGAAATTCATATGAAATAAGTATTATATGAGGAAAAAATCCTTGAGGGTAGATAGCACCTCCCCTGCACCTGTTCAACAACACTTGCTGAGTTTTCATTGACATATGTTCAGAAACTAAATTTGTCTTGCTAGGTAACTTTGGAAGGATATAAGAAACTAGAGGTAAATCAGTGATTCCTGTGACCTATTGTTTTCTCCAAATAGTTATTTCTAATTTTAAAAAAAATTTCCAGGTTCTATTTTTCCCAAATACTTTACAAATTTTACTAACTTAATATTCAAACCATGCCTAAACATTTTGCTAACAAACCTCGTAGCTAGTGATTTTTTTGTTCAGTTATTTGAGTCATGTCCAATTCTTCATTACCCCATTTGGGGGTTTCTTGGCAAAGATACTGGAGTGGTTTGCCATTTCCTTCTCCACTCATTTTACAGATGAGGAAACTGAGGCAAACAGAGTTCAGTGACTTGCCCTGGGTCACACAGCTAGTAAGTGCCTGAGGCTGGATTTGAACTCAGGAAGATAAATCTTCCTGACTGCAGACCTGGAATTTTATCCACTGCTCTAACCACCAGCTACCCTGATTTTACTGATAATAGACTGAGAGCTAGAAGAAGTCTAAGAGATTCCCCTAATCCGATCCTCTCATTTTTATATGAGGAAACCAAGGTCTCATATACCCAAGGTCACAGAGGCAATAAATAACTGAGCTGAGATTCAAACCCAGGTCTTCTGACTCTAAACCTAACCCTCTACTCCCTAGGCAGTGATAGAATAGGTAGAGCACTGAAGCTAAGGTCAGGAGTTCAAATCCAACCTCCGACACTTACTAGCTGTGTGATCCTGAGCAAGTCATTTAACCTCTGTTTCCCTCAGTTTCCTCAACTGTAAAATGGGAATATCAATAAAGAAGCACCTACCTCCAGGATCGTTGGAAATATCAAATGAGATAATTGTGACATGCTTAGCCCAGTGCCTGACACATAGTAGGGCTTAATAAATTCTTAAGTCCCTCCTTCTCAAACATAATTCTCTCTTGGAAAAGATCATTAAGTCATATATACTACATATTTGAATACTGTACTGGACGCTGTAATAATAGTTACTATCTAAACTAACATATAGCACATTCTCTGTGTAGCTTGGTACTTTGCTGGCATTGGTAAATGTTTATTGATAGAAAATAGACTTAAAAGCTTATATGTCTTCTCCTTGGGGACTATTTCCCCACTTTTCCATTCTCAAAGAATCAGGTTAATTTTTTTCCCCTTAAACAATTTCTTCCTGGTAGAACATAAGGTTTCCTAAGTCCTATTTTTGCAACCTAAAGAAAACAAATTTAATACTTCCTAAAACTAATTCTGTAGGTGCTTACCCATCTGCATTTATCTAGACTATAAATTTTAAATGCTTGGTAGGCATTAAATTGCAAAGTTTTTCTTCGAAGGGCAGAGGGGGAGGTAGATCTCTATTTAGGAGATTAAAAACCTAGACAGCCTCATCCATAGCAGTATTTTTGATCTAGGTTAAAATCCTATTCCATCCTGCTTAAGTTACATGATTACCATTTATCTCTGAAATTCTGATTATTCCATGACTCAATTATGGATCTTTTATGAAAGGAACTGCTAATGCAGCCTGTCAGGGTACATGTGAGGGAATGACCTGTGATTTCTCCTTCTACTTATGGAGATCAGATCACATAATTTGTTTACCTACCTTAATTTAATTTACCTGCCTTAGTACCTAAGTCCTAGTTAGTTACCTGAGGCACCTAAAGGTCAAGACCTTTGCCTAGAATCATACAACTATAAGTGTCAGAAGTAGGATTTGAACTCAGGTCTTCTTGACTACAAAGCCAGCATCTCTTCCCTAGTACTTGCTTTGGAAGCACACATAGCGAAGGCACATCATATTTCAGAATACAGGCAGCTAGGGGGCATAGTGGACAGAGTATTAGACCTGGAGTCAGGAAGACCCAAGTTCAAATCCATCCTCAGCTACCTGTGTGACTCTGGGAAGTTACTTAACCTCTATTTGCTTCAGTTTCCTTAACTATAAAATGGGGATAATAACAGCATCTACTTCCCAGGGTTGTTGCAAGGATCAAATGAGATCATTTTTGTAAAATGCTTAGCAAAGTGCTTGGCAAATAGTAGGTACTCAATAAATGCGTGTTTCCTTCCTTCCTTCCTACGATGACTTTCAGGATTTACTGGAAATAAGCCATATCATGGCATAATGTCTCTCTCACAGGCCACTCGTCTCACCTTTTTTTAGCTATAAAATATCAAAGTAAGGAGGAGGGAAATTATTCAAATATAATAAAACTATATTCAAATCCCAATCATATAAACTTAATTTTTTGACTTACCAAGACAATTGATGTGCTGAGTAGGCAATTAGAGTAACTTCTAAATAAAGAAGATCCAACAAATGCTGAGCGAGATTTAAAATTCTACAGTAGTTTATGTTATGAGCAGGCTATCTTATCTACTCTATTGACATCAGTCCAAGTTTTGAAACCAGACTGAAATGTTGAGTACCTGCAGACCTTGTGTTATTTCAGAAGGTTTTTGTTATTTATAATCCAACTTCTTCTAACTTGTGTGGACTACATCTTGGGATGGTTGATTTAGAGGACAAACACACTATGAATCATGCTTCCAGTTAAAAAGAAAAAGGCCATTTGTATTTGCAAACACTCTCATAGATTCAGATAACAGAGGCTTCACTGCTGTTATTGTTATGAGACTTCCCTAGTCTGCACAAACACTTCTCAATTCTATTTTAGATAATTCTTTTTTTTAAAGAGAATCTAAGATCCTAAGTTTAACCGCTTTCTGTCATTCCCTTAAACATACATCTGTTTCTAAGTGTTACAAGGCTTAGAACAAAACTGGTATATTGCTTCTTAAGTCTCTGTTGCAAATGGCAAGCAAATTTTATTTAAATGGTTTTTACTGATCACTTCCCAGGTGCTTTAAAAGAAAATGTGTATATATATATGTATATGTATATATATATATATGTGTGTGTATATATATATATTATATATAACATGTGGGTGTGTGTATGTGTATCTATCTATAATGGGTATCATGTTTCTTACCATCTCAATAGGGGAGGGGATAGAGGAAAGGGGCAGAATTGTAACTGAAAATAAAAATTTTATTTTTATTAGAAACCCCGTGGAATGGGATAGTGGGATGGGCTAGCTGTGCATCTTAACCCATTTTTGACTAGAAGGACACACACACACACACACACACACACGGAAAACTCTAGGCACCCAAAATTCTAGCTGTGTTTTGCACTGTGCAGACAGACGGACACCCACTGAAACAAGCTCAGATGCATTCATGGAAATGGAGAGAAAAAGAATGGAACAGCAGCGGCAGCGGTGGCGGCAGAAGCAGCAGCAGCATCACAGCCCTAGTGACAATGGCTCACCTGGGGATTTAGCTGTAGAATGAGCAGTGGAGTAGAGGCCACCCCTCTTTACTGTACACATTCAGTACAAACAAAGGAGGAAACATTAAGGAGAATAGTTATTCAATAGATCTAAACATGCATAAAGACAGATAGATAGAAAGAAGGGTATAACAACCAAAGCACCAAAGAGAGGGGGGAGGGAAAGGAGAAAGAAGAGGAGGGAGAGAGGTAAGAGCATGTCAAGTCCAAAGGTCAGTGTCTTATTTTCACAAACTCTTGAGGATCAAGGCAGGTTCTGGGGATACCACTAAGAAAGTGGTGACACAGTTTTTGCCTTTTCTTGTCTTGCCATCATGTGTTTTTGTTTGCTTTTCAAGGTTTCTTCACTTCAATCAGTAACCCTTGCAGACTTTCAGATCGGCTCTCCTGCATTACCGAAAAGGAACTCCCACATCAAAGTCAGTCATATTGGTCTTAATGTGGATTTAATTTTAGAATGGTTTTGCAACAGCAGGAGCTAAAAAGGAGGCAGCCATAAGATTAGTGTCGATCTAGAGAGAGGGCTCCAGGCTGAAAGAAATACAGCTGACGCCTTGTTTGTTCGTTTTTAATAAAAATTAAAAAGTAGTAATGGTATTTTAAGCATTACTTTTCTGAACTATAACAGTACTACCAAAGAAGCTGATGTGGGAAAAACCAGGAGAAATTTAGCAAGCTAATATTTTGGGGGTGAACAGATTGGTCTTTTATAGAATTGACAACCTGAGAGATAGTACACATTTTTACAATCCTTGTTATGCTAAGACCAGGAGAAGACAGTACTCAGTGATAAATGCTATACTTCACAGAATGTCTGAATAAAAATTAGCATCTTCCTCAGAAGAGAAATTAACAGCATTGGCTAATACACTTTACTTTGCAGGGAGTTTTGGTTTTTTAAAAATGTTAACAGATACTAGCCTTGCTAATGAGCATCACTTGTTCACTATGAGTAAAAGTTTATTCTGGGGCACTTTTTATCGGTAAATTTTTGGGTACTTCCACATCTGTTACATAGAGATGCACTTGTGAAAACTCAAAGGGAAACCCCAAGAGGTTTTCAGTGTGATGAATGAATAGTTACAAAAATCCTTTGACCATCACTGCAAATTCCAAATGTAGAACATGAACTTTCAATGTGAATATCCTAAGCTTCAAATCCTCTCTTTTATTTTCGGAAAGTGTAATATGAGGACCTGTCAAACTCATGTGAGCAAAATGCACGAATACTATTTTCTTAGGTTCTTTTCACTCACAAAGTTGAACTTTATTTCAAAGCAAGGATATCCTCCCTGTAAAAGCAGGAAAAAAACACCCAACAAATATCCAATGTTCTGAACACCCACTCCTTTTTCATTAGTACCTGAGGCAGGTGATTTGCTGCGACGTGAAGGCCCAGGACTTTTGGATCCAGATTGCTTAGTTGTACCATGGGAACGAGAATATGATGACTTCAAGACACGGCACTCTAGTGAGGAACAGATGGAGTTTTAAATATATCTGGTTTCAGAACTAGACCCAAAGCAAATCATGGACAGTGGAAATTTACTGTGCTGGAAACCTAGCTTGACATTTCCTTATTATTGTTAAGCAACATTAATAAAAAAAGCAAGTATCACAAGACTAACAACGTTAGAACCACAAATCATACTTGAATTTATCTTCCATTGGGCTGGTGCTGCTAAGTTAAGAGGTAATGTACTTTTTTGTGACCTATTCCATATTTAAAAAAAAAAATTAATCCCAGGCATGGAAAAAGTGAAATGGAAGGAGACAGAAAGATTTTGTCTAATGTTTCACCTGGTTCTACCCTTCAACAGGAAATAAATTCTTTGGCCCAACTAAAATGTTGATGAATCCCTACCTTTAGCTTCATTTAAATCTAATTCTAGTATCATCTTACTTTGGGGATCAGGGGTGGGAAACAGTCAGGAATGTTGAGAGTCACTGCAGTATAATGTAAAAAGTACTAGATTTGAAGTCAGGAAAAGCCTAGGTTCAAATCCTGATTGAAATATTTACTAGTTATGTCACTTGACCTTTCTTTGCCTCAGTTTCCCTACCTGTAAATTAAGGATAATACCACCTTAGGTTAAATGACTTGGCAAGCTCATATAGCTATTGAGGAACAGGTCCTCCATCTTCTAGTCCAATATTCTTTCCAATAAACCAGGCTACCTCCAGTGACAGATACAAGAGGAATGAAATGTTATGATGATGTTATGATGAACGAAAATGGAACTTATATCACAGGCAAAGGATTGTGAAGTAAAGTCACTATATGGAACTCAAAGGCAAAGTACCAGAAATGGAAACTCTCAGTAACTTGATGAAATTATAATTCTATTTATTTTGACATAAGTTTAAAAGGAGTATCCCCTCAAAACATGTTTTGCAGTTATCATAGATTCCTTAAAAAATATTGTGAAAATCCAAAGAGATCTCAACTGGGGGAGGGAGAGGAAGGGGCTCTCTCTCTTGACAGCCAGTACTCACTGAAGGCAAGCTGACCTTGGATAAGCCACCTCTTCCTAGCTTTTCTGGAAATTTCTATGCCCCCCATACTTTCATTTCCCATTTGTTTCTTTTGGCCCTCCCTTAGCTAGTCTCTAGCATCTCCCTGCCTATGACATCAGAGATGAGAAATCAACCAGTCACAACCTTTTTCTGGCTAAGACAGTTTCCTCATCTGTATAAAGAGGAAAATAATAACACCTCCCTGCCAGTCTTTTGTAAAGATAAAATGAGATAATATTTGTAAAGTACTTTGCAAACCTTAAAGTGCTATATGAATGCTAATTATCACTATAACTATCCTATTAATAATTATATTAATGATAATGTAATTACTAATAACATTATTTGGGGGTTTAATCTCAATGCCCAAGGCATTCCCTTATGTGAATTAAAACACACCATTATATAGACCCATTGCCTTATATACTAATGACTCATCTGATCCTTTTGTGAAATTCCCTCAAAGTGGGGGGCAGCTAGGTGGCGCAGTGGATAGAGCACCGGCCCTGAAGTCAGGAGGACCTGAGTTCAAATTCGGCCTCAGACCAAACACTTGACACGTACTAGATGTGTGACCTTGGGCAAATCACTTAACCCTGATTGCCTCACAAAAAAAAAAAAAAAAAAAAGAAATTCCCTCAAAGTGTGCTGGTATAGACTAGAACAAACTGAACCAATAATTCTCAACATAGCTTTACAGTGGTTACATTACAGGAGTTAAGAGGTTTCAGATTCAGATCCTTACCACTGTGATCCAGGACAAAGTCATCTTGGGCATAACGGAATTTTTCAGGTCCACAGGCAATAAAAACATCATCATCACCAAAAAAGTCTTGTAGGCAAGTAACCTGAAAAAACACCACCACAAACAAAAATGTAAGTACTTTTAAGTGAAAACAATATGGAAAGTAAGGGGAAAAATTGATACTTACAAGAGCAGCACAGAAGATTTAGAAATAGTACAGAAATCTCAGTATTTTACACAGAATATGTAACATTAGCATCTCACACACTTTGCTATATTGCTTTCTACTACTTTTGTTTGTTTGTTTGTTTGTTTTTGTTTTTTTGCTAGGCAATGGGGTTAAGTGAGTTGTCCAGGGTCACACAGCTAGTAAGTGTCAAGTGTCTGAGGCCGGATTTGAACTCTGGTCCTCCTGACTCCAGGGCCGATACTCTATCCACTGCACCAGCTAGCTGCCCCTTACTACTACTTTCTTAATTTGATTTCATGGAGGGATGTGCTAACCCTGCTTTTTAGGTTATCTTATAGCAAAAGTTCTGTTACTGTTGATAATGCTTTAGGGTTTTGAGTTGGGGGAGGTGAGGGGGAAATCAATGAAGCTGGAAGGGGTATTAGAAGTCATTCAGTCCAAGCTCCTCAATTTACAGATGGGGAAACTGAGATCCCAAAAGGTCAAAGTAGTTTACCCAAGGTCAACAAATAGTAAGTGTTAGAGCTAGAATTTTCATTCTGGTCCTGTGACTGACTCCAAATTTCAGCATTTTTTCTACTCCACCAAATTGTTAAGATTTAGTGAGACACATTGGGTCACAGTCTCCAGTGTCACAATAACCAAGGAAAGCAGGTGCTTTTATTATCTTTGCTTTAGAGTTTGAGGAAATGGCAACAAACAGAGATTAAGTGATTTGCCCAGAGTTAAACAGCTAGTATGTATCTGGGGGGAGATCTGAACTCAGGTCTTCTTGCAGTGCTCTACCCACCGTATCACTAGCTGCCTTTTCTTAATACAGGATCAACTTACCTTGTTTTCCAGTCAACTATCATTCTATAAGCTATGTTCAAGACTTTGTACTAAACACAAGGGGTATAATCATAAAAGTGCAACAGTTCCCCTAATTACTGAGGGGATTTAACATTTCCATAGATAAGTAAGTAAAAGATAAATGCAAAATAAATAGAGTGTTATGTGATAGGGGAGGAGCCTTAATGACTAAGGAGATGAAAGAAAACCTATTCAAAGAGACTGTCCTAGAGCTGAGCCTTAAAGGAAGTTAAGGGTTCCAGGAAGTGAAGGGGGGGAAGAGGAGGAGAGCATTCTAGGCATGGGAGACACCCTATGAAAAGACATGGAGGTGAGAAATTGAATGTCATGTAAAAGGACAGTAATAAGGCCAGTTCAGCTGAAGCATGGAGTGCATGTGAGGGGATACCATCTGTAATCAGCCTGGAAAGATAGGTTGAATCCAGATAGGGAAGGTGTGTACAGGTTATCCTGAAGACAAGTGTTCGTTTTATCCTAAAGGCAACAAACAGGTAGCCACTGAAAGCTTTTGAGCAGGGAAGGGACATAGTCAGACCTGCATGTCATGACTATTAATTTTGACAGATATATAGAGGGTGGATTGGACATGGGAGAGAAGGGATGCAGGAAGACCTAACTGGAGGCTACTTTAATAGTCAAGTTGAGTTAGGGGAGTTCTGGTACGACTGAAAGGCAATGAGGGATACTGTTCCCAGTGATGACTTTTAAGGGGCTTCTCATACTCCAGGCATCCCTGGAGTCTATTTGCATCCAGTAACCCCACAGGATTACTTGTATTTCTGATGCTTCCAAGATCACAACACTCCTTGATCACAACTACATAGTATCACCAGGAGAATAACAGTGGTAAAGAAATGGGCTTTCATGGCAGTGGACAGTTTGGAATCACTGAAAGAAAGCATCATTCAATTTCTCAAGTTTAGCCCAATATTTTCCTCCTGTTCAATTCCTGCCTCAGATGGAATTATTAAAATATTGATTGGGAATCTAATTTTTTTTCTACATGGATGTTAAAGAAACAAATCAATTTTTACCCTGTGCTTTCCTTTTTTCCTTTTCATTTCTATCTGGATCATTTAATTCTCAGTTCTGATAGTTCAAAAAAGGACAGGATTTTATTTTATTTGATCAAATAGGATTTGAATCATTAAGCAACCTTTCATGGAAAACATAAAAATCATATCACTTTGTAATGCATTTACACCCTGCATGGGATGATGCTGTTATTTTAATTATCTAACCAGGTCTTTAATTTTTTTTAAAAAAAATTATTGCAGGAAAATATTTCATATGGTACTAAATTACTAGAATAAACGATTAAGCTCCTGATTCTGCCTAGCTGACAGCATTTTATAAATCTGGGGACCACAGCAGAGTAAAGAGGTGGCTCACACTTTTACAACAATTCTATTTAGTGCTTCACGCTTTGGGTATCAAGTGCCTAATCTATCTTTTAATGATTTCACCCACCACCAGCAGTATATGTTTCTGAGTTTGGCTTACACCAAGAAGGCAGCAGGTGGCACGCTTCTCTTCAGTGAAAGAGAAAACTGCAGGCTTCAACTGTGCTAAGGTTTGCCTCAAACACTGTGTTCAATTAAGAGTTCACGTTTCTGTAGTGCTTTATAGTTTACAAGGCACTTCCCTCAAAACGACATCCTGACAGAGGTAGTTCAACAGTTATCTCTGTTCAGTCCACGAGCAAATGGAGACTCAGAGAGGTTAAAAATTTGCCTGGAGTCACACAGATAGTGAGCATCAGAGCTGGGGTTTGAGCCAAGGTCATTAGATGTAAAGTCAGGTGTTCTTTTTACTAGTTTGTGCTGTCTTATGGATCACTTCCTACCCCTACAAAGCAGGAGAGGGAATGGTAATAATAGCTTGCATTTACATAGGACTTTAAAGATTTGCAAAGCTGTTTATGTATTATCTACTTTATGACAACCCTGCCAGGTAGATACTATCTTTATAAACTTCCACACACACCTCTCTATTTTATAGATAACAATAATAATAGTCCAGATTTATATAGCGCTTATTATGTGCCAGGCACATAGTAGGCGCTACATAAATATACATATACAATCATTTTCTCATTTGATCCTCACAACAACCCTGAGAGGTAGGTGCAATTATCCTCATTTAACAAATGAGGAAACTGAGGTAGACATGTGCCCAGAGTCACACAAGTAGTATCTAAGGCAAGATTTAAATTCAGGTCTTCCTGACTCCAAACCCAGTGCTCTATCCATTGGAATACCTAGCTGCCTCTAGAAGAGACACATGCTGATAAAAAACAAACATGCATCCCATTATCTCAATTCAACAAAATATAAAATATTAGGCTATTGATAAACATCTCAAAAAGTCAAATTCTATCTGCATAAATTACCAGGGAATCACGGGTCAAAAGCAACTTCCTAGGCAAGCTCTTTCCTGATCCCCCTTCCTGTTGATGTTTTTTATTTTTTGATATTACCAGGCATATATTCTGTGTACATACTGTGGCCAGCTAGCTGAACGGGAAGCTCTTGGGGAACAGAGGCTAATCCCTCCAGTCCTTGTAACTCCATAGCTTAAGGCAGCTAGATGGCGCCATAGTGCACGGAGTGCTGGACCTGAAGTCATCTTCCTAGCTGTGCGACACTTAACTGACTGTGTGACCCTGGGCAAGTCACTTAACCTCTGTCTGCCTCAGTGTCTTCATCTGCAAAATTAGGACAATAATACCTACCTACCTAAAAGGGTTGTTTGAGGTGGCACAGTGGATAGAGCACTGGCCTTGAAGTCAGGAGGACCTGAGTTCAAATCTGACCTCAGACGCATAACACTTACTAGCTGTGTGACCCTGGGCGAGTCACTTAACCCCATTGCCTAACCAAAAAAACAAAACAAAACAAAACAAAACTGAAAGGGTCGTTTGAAGATCAAGTGAGATAATATTTGTAAAGCACTTAGCACAATGCCTGGCACACAATAGGCAGTATATAAATACTAGTTGACACTGCTTGACAAGAATGATACCACTAGCCTAAGCTGACTCAATCACATAAAATGTGCAAATCATTTTGGAGGTCTCTTTTGAATGTTAGCATTCAGAAGCTGCAAAATATTGGCCTAAAGAGGTATTTTCCCAGTTGGCACCCTCTCAAAGAGACTTCTTTGGTTAGGAAGTCTGCTTAATGGCATCCCCGTTTCTCCTCTGTAAAAGGAGGTGGGGGGGGGGAATTTCCAGCCATTTATCTGCTAGAACTCCCCAGTCAGTAGCCCATCTCAGGTGCATGTTCTTCTGTTCCTCTGGATAGCTCTTAGCTTTAATCATTCCAGGACAGCATTAAATAATCACTAACAATAATGCTGATCGCAGAAGCTGAGATCTGGAATACCCCAGCTTTGGCCGGGCACCAAAGTGCTAAGCAATTCAATGAATACACATTCAGTAATGGCTATGGCAGCATGGAAATCAGCCTTGGTAATTAAAAAATTAAATAAATAAAGACAACAGGACGAATTCACCATCATTGGCCGTCTGGTGGGTGGTGGTCTCTGACTGCATCCCATCTCTAGGATAGCATAAGGGGTTTCTGGCACTGCCTAAAATGGCAGCACCATCTCCAATCAGAGAAAGCATTAGTTATGGAAAGAACAGAAGAAAGCATCCGTCCCCTATAGGGCTTTTGAAAGCTCAGAGAAAATGAAAACATTATGAGCAGAAACTCATCAAATATTACATATATTTGCAGCTGAGCAGGCAGTTAAAAGATTGGATGACGGCAGATGGTAAGAACAGGTTTCATTATATAAACAATGAGTAAACAAGGGATAAAATTGGAGCAGTTTTTTCTTCTCCATCACCATTGGTATATAATTCCAAGTCCATTGTCATTTCTTCCCCACAATGAAAGCATGTAGAATGTTTGACTCATAGTCATTGCTGTATTTCTCTGACGTGTAACTTGAATACATTCTACAAAAGGAACACCAGGTGGCATACGTCAGTGAGTCTTAATGTTATAGCTAAGGATTCACCAATGGCTAAGGTCCACATCATGGAAAAATTA